TCACCTGACGTGACTATCCTGCAGGTGAATGATGCAATCGCACCTGTAGATGAGCATTCCATAAGAGTTGCTCCAGAGAGGATCCAGAATGTCTCTCTTGAAGGTGATGTTTTAACCATTTCTCTCCACAGGGACTATGATGAATCTGTAGAGCTGGCAGGTCATGCTCAATTCCTTGCCAGAATTGAAAGGGTTAATAACAACTTATTCTTTCCTATTCAAATAACTGACTTAGGGAGAAGTAGGAATGCAAAGCTGGACTTAAAGAGTGAGAACAGCTATATTAGCAGAAGTCTGTTAAGGCAGATCGCTAATCCTAAAATGATCAGGTACACTTCCCCACATGACAGGTGGATCCAGAACCTGGATGGCGAATCAGAGAGTCACAATGTGATAGCAAAATGTTTACTATCTATTTCCATCGGAAATAAGACAGTTAAACATTTATTCCTAGCAATAAACGAACCTCGCTATCAGGTTTACATCGGCAATGATGTCATACATCGCTTTGCCATACACCTTGACCTGATTAATTCCAACTTGTGGACAAGGTTAAAAGGTAACCCTTGTGAATACCTACACGAGGAAAACGCCCTGAAATCAGGACAAATACTCCCATATGCGGTAAGTATCCAAGTTCCTGATGACATAACCATTCCACAGGGGACAAGTAACTTTCTTTTACCCCTACAGGTCAAGAAGGGTCAGAGATTGGAAAACTCTGATGCCCTAATCTGTTTATCCAACAGGATACAACAATCAGGGATGGTGGTAACCCATACACCAATGGTAAGTATTGGTAAGAATCCCACCTATATAGTGGTCAACAATGTTACACCCAATAGTGTTACTTTACCAAAAGGAACATTATTAGGTCTAGCACTGGATGCTGAGTACTATACATTTGGTTTCCAAAACCAAATTATTGGTCTCATCCCTGAATACTTAACTGAGGACGAAATTGTCGATCAAATATTCCATTCCTCTACAGAAGGATTATTTCCTATCCTATCTGTATATCTCTTCAACGTCGAACAAGGCTCGTGTAAAATAGAAGAAGAATCAATCACCTTCGATCATCCGCTCAATGAGCAGGAATCACAAGAGTATCGCGACCAAAGAGAAAAGGTAAGTTAACACCGAACTGACCTAACTTCTAGGCTTGAAGAAGCTTATGAGATAGGCCAGCCTGAAATCTTTCCAGGATTTCAGGAAAGGCTAGAAGAGCAAATATCTTTAGCTGACAGTTGCTCCAATGATGCTGAGCGGCATCAACTAAAGGATATCCTAATGGAATTCCAAGATATTTTTGCCAAAGATTCCTATGACTGTGGGTTAACTAACCTCCACGTAGCCAGAATACAAACTGATCCAAATTTACCACCTGTATTTATCAAACAATATAGACTCCCATTAGTGTCATATGATGGTCTACAAGACATCATTCTGAATTTAAAGGAAAGGGGCATTATACGTCCGGTGCACAGTTCGTATAATAATCCGATCTTGGGGATTCTGAAACCTAATGGACAATGGCGTTTATGCGCTGACTTACGACAGCTAAATTAACGCGTCTATATGTCTGGTTGGCCAGTGCCATACATAGACCAATGTTTGGTACAAATGCAGGGATCCAAAATATTCACTGCCATTGACTGTGCGCAAGGATATTGGACTGTACCAGTCCATGATGAAGACCAATACAAATTGGCCTTCACATTTGGAAAGCAGCAGTATACCTGGACCTGTATGCCCTTCGGTTACATAAACTCTGGTCATGAATTCGCTGTGTTCATGCATAAAGCTATGCCTGACGCACTCGAGAGAGGAACATTATCATATGTCGACGATGTCTTGCTGAAAAGCACTTCCTTTGATAAGCATATCATAGAGATTAGACATGTTCTCACTCAGTTAAAGGACCACTATAGTGCCCTGAGGGTGCCCCCACCCGGCTCTGGAAAGGGGAAAGGGGTTAAAACTTACCTTTTTCCAGCGCTGGGCGGAGAGCTTCTGCCTCCTCTCCTCCTCCGTTACGCCCCGCCGGCTGAATGCACACGTGCGGCAAGAGCTGCGCGCGCATTCAGCCGGTCTCATAGGGGAGAGAGAGAGGGAGAGAGAGCTGCGGAAAGCATAGGAAAGCATTTACAATGCTTTCCTATGGACACTGCGTGCTCTCACTGTGAAAATCACAGTGAGAAGCACGCAAGCGCCTCTAGTGGCTGTCAATGAGACAGCCACTAGAGGGAATAGGGGGAAGGCTTAACCCATTAATAAACATAGCAGTTTCTCTGAAACTGCTATGTTTATTAAAAAATGGGTTAATCCTAGCTGGACCAGGCACCCAGACCACTTCATTAAGCTGAAGTGGTCTGGGTGCCTAGAGTGGTCCTTTAAGAGAGGCAGGGATAAAACGGTCTTTACAAAAGGCACAATGGTGTCGCACCCATGTCAATTTCCTCGGACATGAGGTAACTTCTGAAGGATTAAATCCCCAGAGGAAGAAGGTTGAAGCTGTAATTAAGGCTAAAACATTTTCAAACATCAGGGAATTAAGATCGTCCCTTGGTATGACTAACTACTCCCGTAAGTTTATAGATAACTATGCAGAAATAACGAAACCACTCTTACACCTGCTTAAAAAGGAAACTACCTGGAACTGGGGGGAGCCTCAGGACCAAGCAGTAAGTGAACTGAGGAGGAAGCTCACTCAGGCACCCTGTTTAGCATACCCAGAGGGGGGTAAACCCTTCTATCTGGAGACAGGATATACAGATTTAAGCATAAGTGCTGTTCTGTATCAGAAGCAGGACAGTCTAAACAAAGTTATTGCATATGCTAGCAAGACTTTGTCACCTGTTGAAGTTAAATTCAACACGTGTGAGAAGGCGTTATTGTCGACTGTCTGGGCACTACAAAATTTTCGTAGCTATATCCAAGGTGAGAAAATAATTGTAGAAACAGCTCACCAACCTCTACAGTATCTGCAGAGTTAAAGAATCAGAGACGGTAATTTCTCTAACAGTCGGATTACTGCATGGACTCTATCCTTACAGGGATGGCCGCTAGAAGTCCGTTATAAACATAATAGTAGAAGCCCAGTTGCCCAAGGTTTAGCAGAATTACATGACTGTACTGCTCCATCTCTGTATGATAATGACACCGGAGATGGCTTCCTAGAAGAGCAATTGCTATCCCCTTATAAAGTTTATGACGAGGAATACTGTCGACCACTACTGTGGGTATACATTGATGGTTGTTCATATCACCACGGCGCTGGTGCTGAACGGAAGTAAGTTTCAGGTATCGGAATTGCCTGGACAGGTGATTATCCCAATGTATGTATAGGATACAATATTGGTCCCAAAAGCAGTCAGATAGCCGAACTCTGTGCAGTATATAAGACCATTCAAATGGCAATAGAATATGGTATCAAAGAATTTATTATAAATGATTCCAACTATGTTCGCAACAGTTTCGTCGAATATCTACCTAGCTGGAAACGTAACCAAATGCTGAAAAGCAATAACAAACCTGTTAAACATGGGAAATTGTTTTGTAAAATCGATGAGTTGGTTAAGGAAAATGGTTTAACCATAGATTGGAAGAAAACCAAAGGCCATTCTAAAATAGAAGGTATTGACAAGGATGGTAATGACTTAGCCGATTCACTGGCAAAACAAGCAGCCATCAATGGTGAAACCCTAAACATTGATGATCTTATGGGTTCAATTCATGTTGACGCCATAACTAGACGACAGGATAGAGATAATGCCAACTTAAACGTTGTGTAATGGAGTCAAGAAGCTCCTAGTGAGGACCTGATTACCAGTCAAAAGAACGATCCCGTCATAGGCATATTCTATAGACATATAGAAGACCCTACTGCCAATCCCATCACAGATGAGGATTGCAAAGATAATGAAGATTTACGAATCTTGATGAGATATAAAGTCCAATTTAGTATCATGGATGGGTTGCTGGTCAGAACTTCTAAACATGGTATACAACAATAGGTAGTCCCAACTGTATACAGAGGGTTAATGCTCCAACACGCACATGATGCACCTACATCTGGGCATCGTGGTGATAAGATCACATATGAGATATTGCGTGATTATGCATATTGGCCACACATGTTAAGAGATGTTAAGACATGTCAGGGATGCTTGATTTGTCCGCAATATCAACCCCATGGTCCAACCCATCGTGCACCACTTCAGAAGAGGGGGGTGTCATTACCCTGGTCTGATATTCAAATTGACTTTATAGGTCCTGTAACAAGATCTTCAAGATACATGTTAACCGTTACATGTATGTACACAAAGTGGATAGTGTTTGCCTTGTAAAGAGAACACGAGTACCGTGTGCGCCACTTTGTTGATTAACCATGTCTTTTCCAGGTTTGGTCTGCCTCAAAGAATTGAGTCAGACAGAGGTAGCCATTTTACCAGCAAAGTAATGGCTAAGATGTGGAAAATTCTAGGTGTTAAACAAAAGCTACATATTGCATACTGCGCTGCGTCTAACGGGGGGGTAGAGCGATATAACCAGTCTATCGTTAATATTCTGAAGAAATGTTAAGGAGTCTGGTAAAGACTAGGACATTAAATTGCCTCTAGTTTTAATGGCGATTAGAGCTACACCTAGCACTGCTACCAAATTGTCACCTTTTGAATTGATGACAGGAAGAAAGATTGTTTTACCACAGCATTTACTATATATTGTACTTCGGATCATAACTTGATCAATGCCGCCACTACACATCAATAGATCGAAGATTTGCGCAAGCATTTACAGCATGCGTTTACTTTTGCCCAAAAGAATCTAGAAAAAGGAGCGACAGGGGTTAAGACCTATTACGATTTAAAAACCATGAAAAAGGAATATGAGATCACAGATCAAGTCTATCTGTATAACTTTGCGCGAAATCAAGTTAACCCCTTAAGGACACAACTTCTGAAATAAAATGAAATCATGATGGAATATTTCCGTCATGTGTCCTTAAGGGGTTAAGGAAAATTCATTTTTACCTTCTTGGAAAGGGCCATATGTCATTATTGACAAAATTTCCCCGTAACGTATAAGATAAAAATTCCTAAGGATGGTGATTTTATTGAAAAGTGGGTTCACATTAACCAGTTGCATGCTTGTCATCCTAAATCTCAATTAAGGATTATAGGTGTGGATTCGGACGCAGAAGGATGAACAACTAACCTGGATGAATGCTTAATTCACGTGGTATCGTATGATGTGAAATGTTGTGATGTGCCATGATCTCATGTACGTTCATGTCATTAACCATTTCCTTGCCATCCAATAACTACATTTTCTAAGCAGGTTACTAGCTTGTTTAACTGCAATAGGCGAATTACTGAAGAGTCAGTAATAAATGTAGTGAGGGATGAAGTTATAAAAATAGAATTAGAGAGAATACATATGTTGATGAATCGTAATAATGTGTTGTCCTAGGCCAAGTGATGTCACACTGTTATAAGTTTGTATGCTTAACAAACCTTGAATCATTAGTAGATAAGTCTGAAATGAGTTCCTGATCCGTGACTGTCGAAAGATGTCCAAGAAGGATGTGGCATATTTCAGGATCGTACTGCTCCTGTGCCAAGAGCTACGGACAGACCCGATCGCTGAGATGGGACCATCCTCCGGCATCCTGATTCAAGAGACACCAGGGTTCATCTTGACAGAGAAGAGGATCCTGACCCAACGTGTGTTCCTCAGCTTGGACCCCAAGATTTCCATCGAGAAGGCATACAACATTTCATTGATGCAGCTTCCTGAGTTACAGACTTGGTACCAGATGCACCTCCAAAGAGCACAGGACCGTGTGCGAAACATCTTGTAGCAAGCCCGGAAACCATTTGTATCCAGTACTATTTCGATGAGCAACCGACCCAAAAGGTTCCTCACCGCCATAATTGTTGCATTAGTTTGTGCCACTGTTGTCGCAACTGGAATGTCTGCAGCCAACTCTATTACTGTCCAAAAGCTGGATATGGAAATCTATCCGCTAAAGAAACACATTAACGATATTCATCAGGTGATAAAACAGCAAAGAACACGTCCAAGACGTGTTAACTATTGTGGAAGACACAGTTGTTACAACAAATTTGCATTCAGAGTTAATTGCCAAATCCACTGAGTTGCACCAAAATCATGACTTATTTAAGAGTGAACTATTTCTGCATGACCCAATATTGTTCCACACACTTGCATACCTCTGTATTTTGTATCCAAGGATATTGTTCAGGCAATGCTTGCAAATGTGGATGGAGAAACAATTGAGCCTATGCAATTAAATCTGGCCTTTGAGATGGGGAGTGCTATACCTCTCTTAATTGATCCAGAATGCATGGAGATTTGCTTTTATTGGCCATACCCTATGTAACTCCCAAAAACATTTTTCAAATGAAAACAATTTACTATGTTAATAATAATAATAATATGCTTAATTGTAAATTTCAAAGCTCTTACGGGTACAAAAATATACAAAAATGTTCATTCCACGCACGGGCCTATGTCAGTAGAAATGATGTGAGTGCACAATATGTCTGGTAACTTCTATAGTGCTTATTCATAGGCTAAATTATTCATTGCTATGAAAGTCACTAAGGGGGTTATGTCAGAATATTTATATCGGCAGACATTTTGTGCTAAGAAAGAAATTAAAAGTGTATATTGCCAGAGTTACTCAGAACAGAGCGGACTCCATTTTGCTATCTTCATGATAACAAAGACACATAATTTCCTTGCTTTCACTAACCACTGAGCCTGAGCGAAGGAATGCATTATATAAACACGGACACTAGTGACAGAGAAGACTAAGCAATTAATTTTACTTTCTAAATTTTACAAGGTTCCATTGATGGGAATATCTACATAACTGGTAATTATGCTGGTTTTATTTAATTAATTTAAATTAATTAAAATTCACTAATAGCATGATATATGACTGGATAAATCACGGTCAGATTTCAATATTTAGAAATCTTAGTTAACTAAAGAATATATAGTTATAAACATTCCATTCTGCAGGTGGAATTAAGAATAATTATATATTAATGTGATAGTATCACGTGTTAGCATACCGCTGTTTTTATCCAGGTGTATTGATTTGCTCTAAATTAAGATAAGATATCTTTTTAGGCAAATTAAAATTCGGCTTATAGAATCTGGTAGATTATTCTTATTGGATGGTTCCAGGAAATGACTAATGAGCTGTTTAGAATGTTATTTTAATTGAAAATTACATGAGAATAGGATACTATATGCCTAGGAGGATCTAGCCAGCATTGAAAGGGTTACTCAGTTGATTTAACTGTTAGCCAAGGTTTTATGGCTTTTCGCTGTGTGAAGCTTTACTTTTTGTCTGTGAAGTACCCTCATAAATCTTATTAAGTGACAGTTGATGCTGTTAGCCATTGGAACGTGTATTGCCATTCCATTGCATTGCATACTTATGTTATACTAAATATTCACTGATTATTATCATGCATGCTGCCTAATATTATTGTTATGTTCTATGTCACAATAAATTAAATCTATTTTTATAACAAATTGTGATTTTATTTGTATGGAATACATTTCACTTACATGATAAACAATCTCTAAGATCTAAGAGAATTGAAATAGTGGGCAGTTCTCCAATGTGAAAATAAATGTACACAAAGTGGATGAAGAAAAGAATTCAGCAGCTCAAATACACCTAATAAGTGGTATCCCCTACACCACTATAAATACATAAAATACATACAAAACAAATAGGCGGAGCCGCATAAAATCTTGGATGATCTGTAAAACAAAATTGAATATACACAAAATAGCGTAGTATGTCTATTCAATCTGTTTGGTAAGAAGAAGTAAAATTTCACTCACAAAATCAGAGTCATACCGTCATATGACTCTAAATGTATCCTCCTGTGGACCATTTGGGGGTTGTCCAGACCCTTTCGTTCCCGGATCCTCGGTATTCCCCCTTGTAATTCTTTTGCAGGTCTTCCTAAATAAAGTATCGGATTCACCACTTGTCCTTTTTTCAAAAAGTGGTTTTTATTCCAATAAAAATATATATCATATACCAAACACAGCTGGTATGAATGACAATAAAAATATGTGTAAATCAATGTCCAATAAAATGTCCAATTAATATATAAGTCCAAAACGCGTTTCGCCTGTAAAATAGGCTTCCTCAGTTGGTTATAGGAGTTTAATCTTCTTTGCTTCCTTTTAAATGTCCCGCCCGATTTTTTTTTTTTTTTTGGAGGTCACTTCCGGGTTCTCGTGCGTTGGAACGCAACGTGCGTTCCAACGCCGACGTCTACTTCCGGGTTTCGTCAAAATGGAACGCACGTGCGTTCCAACTGTATTCAGTACTGGTGGCTCTATTTTCGACTTCCTAGTTATGTCTAAATGGAACGCACGTGCGTTCCAAAGTGCTCTTGATGCCGGCTACCCACTAGGTTCGCCGGAAATGTATTCTTCTCTAAAATTACATGAAAATGGAAGCAAAATAGTGCAACATCTAAAACAATGTACATCAAAAGCAGTATACAATCAATTCCCTTTTTGATTAATATGTGGGAATATCAAGAAATAGCCCATAAAGATTATATTGTGTATCATTAAAATTGATGCTACTAAAAGAAGATGCTGCTTTATTTAGTCTGTATAAAAAGCGGGGTGTAATCAATCTAAATCCCCTTTCTATATATTCTTCTCTCTAAAGTTACACAAAAGTCAAGGAAGAGGAGACAAAATAATAAAACTTATAAAAGATACTTATTAAAAAATATTTTTTAGTTTAAAAATAGCCCATAAAAATTATGTAGCATTAGAATTAGTGTTATAGATAAGGGAAGATGCTGCTATGGAGCGAACTCCGCGGACCCTTCTCCCATAGAGTAGCTCAAAGGGAGAGAACCCAGTAGATTCCTGCGGCACCTCTCTGTATGCAAATAGCAGATGAGGCAGGAATCGCTCCCAGTCTCTGCAAGTGTCAGTAAAGGTCCTCAACATCTGTTTGAGGGTGCCATTAAATCGCTCGCAGAGACCGTTAGTCTGTGGGTGATAAGGTGAGCTATGCAGCGGTTTAATGCTGCACACCTTCCACAGCTGCTGGGTAAGCACAGCGGTAAACTGAGTTCCCTGGTCGGAGAGGATCTCCTGAGGGAACCCGACCCTAGTGAAAATCTTAACCACGGCATCAGCCACTGTCTCTGCCTCTATATTAGACAGCGCTACTGCCTCTAGATAACAGGTGGCATAGTCCACCACGGTGAGAATATACTTCTTACCGGATGGACTAGCCCTGGCCAGTGGACCCACAATGTCAACGGCTATGCGGGAAAAGGGTTCTACAATGATAGGCATCGATATGAGCCTAGCCTGGACCCTTCTCCCATGGAGTAGCTAAAGGGAGAGAACCCAGTAAATTCCTGCGGCACCTCTCTGTATGCAAATAGCAGATGAGGCAGGAATCGCTCCCAGTCTCTGCAAGTGTCAGTAAAGGTCCTCAACATCTGTTTGAGGGTGCATTAAATCGCTCGCAGAGACAGTTAGTCTGTGGGTGATAAGGTGAGCTATGCAGCGGTTTAATGCTGCACATCTTCCACAGCTGCTGGGTAAGCACAGCGGTAAACTGAGTTCCCTGGTCGGAGAGGATCTCCTGAGGGAACCCGACCCTAGTGAAAATCTTAACCAGGGCATCAGCCACTGTCTCTGCCTCTATATTAGACAGCGCTACTGCCTCTAGATAACGGGTGGCATAGTCCACCACGGTGAGAATATACTTCTTACCGGATGGACTAGCCCTGGCCAGTGGACCCACAATGTCAACGGCTATGCGGGAAAAGGGTTCTCCAATCATAGGCATCGATATGAGCCTAGCCTTTGGGTGATCCCCCCGTTTACCTACCCGTTGACATGTGTCGCACATACTACAATATACCCGCACATCTCGGTTGAAATTAGGCCAGAAGAAATTTTGGGTGATCCTATGAGCTGTGCGGCGGGAGCCTAGATGGCCTGCTAATGGCACATCATGCCCAATCCGCAGGCACCACCAGCTGCCGATTCTGTGGAGGGGTATTCGGTCTCTAGGACGGTTTAGGGATCCTGTACAGCCTATCCCCCACCCACTCGTAACGCTCCCCATCGACCCCCTCTTCCCCAGTATCTTTCCTGGCCCTATACTTCTCTAGGGTCGGGTCCTCCCGGGTTTCCCTCCCGTACATCTCTGGGGTATCCCAGCCTAAAGGGGCCTGATCTAAGGTACAAGTCGGGGTAGAATGCCTTACCTGGGTCTCAGCAGCAGGTAGGCCGGTCTCGGGGCACCGGTCTGGGCACGGGTCTTGACAGCGTTCACTTCAGCGGGACCTATGGGAGCATAGGCAGAAACAAGAGGGGCCAAGTCATTTTCAAGGAGGACATCAGCTGGTAAGTCCCTCATGTCTGGCGCCCACTCCCCAATCCAAATGTACCCGGGCAACGGGTAAGCGAAACACAACACCTCCGGCTACTCTCACAGCCACAGTGTCCCCAGTGTGCTGATTCTCTGGCACCAAGTGTTTTTGGATCAATGTCATTGTTGCCCCGGTATCCCGCAGACCACTGACTTCCTTCCCATTTACTTTGACCAGTTGCCGGTGTTGTTGGCAGTTATCGCGGTGGGCAGCTTGAACAGGGTCTGCCTCATGTAGGACGCCCCAACATTCCTCCTCCTCTACGCAGTGGGCAGCAGGCTGAGTGGGCCGTTGGTTCACGCTAGTCGGTCTCCGCCAGGACTGGTTCTGGTTAGCATTATTCAGCGGGCACTCTGGTCGTTTGTGCCCAAGCTGCTTGCACCCA